AAAAAAAAAAAAAAAAAAAAAAAAAAAAAAAAAAAAAAAAAAAAAAAAAAAAAAAAAAAAAAAAAGAAAGAAAAGAAAGGATAGCAAATTAAAAAAAGAATGAATAACAGCTAAGCTGCATTTACCAGAGAGGAAATTTGGATAATAGAGTATTAGGGAAACTGAGAAAGAACTTAGGTAGGAAGAGGAGAAAGTGAAGTACTATAGAGAGGTGCTAGAAGTTCAGCAAGTGCATTGGCAAAACTAGGGTGATCTGGCCAGGCACGGTGGCTCATTCCTGTAATCCCAGCACTTTGGGAGGCCGAGGTGGGTGGATCAGTTGAGGTCAGGAGTTTGAGAACAGCTTTGCCAACGTGGTGAAACCCCTTCTCTACTAACACAAATTAGTCTGGGGTGGTGGTGGGTGCCTGTAATCTCAGCTACTCAGGAGGCTGAGGCAGGAGAATTGCTTGAACCCAGGAGGCCAAGGTTGCAGTAAGCCGAAATCCAGCCACTGTACTCCAGCCTGGGCGGCAGAGCGAGACTCCATCTAAAAAAAACCAAAAAACAAAAACACTAGGTGATCTACGTGTAATGACAGACAGAATAGGGTATTAGACTGCAGTGTCACAGGGCTAACAGGGCTGAGAGCTCCAAGATGCCCACCACAAATGTGGCACTTCTCAGACTAATCATTTTGTGAGATTGCCTTCCTTCAAGATTGAACCAAATGCTCGTTGTAACCCAGTTTCACCTGGATGAAAATCTAAAAGGTCAGGAGAGGCTGGTCCCTCAAATTCAGTACTTTAACACAATAAACATAGGCTGGTGCCTCAAATTCAAACATTTAACACAATCTCATCCTTTTCTCTCACATGGTAATCCAGTAAAGGCCTGCAGAAGGATTCTGCTCCATGGGGTCATTCAGGAGCCCAGGCTCCTTTTGTCTTGTGTTTCTGCTCTTCTCTCTGTTTTTCAGATTCTATCCACTCAGCTGGTGGGTAGGAAAGGAGAACAAGGACTGCACGAAGGACATTTTTGACATTTCAGGCATAAATGTGGCACATGCATGTAGTTTCGTATTCCATTGGCTGAAATTCAGACACATGGTCTCAACTATTGCAAGATGTGGTCCAACCATGTGCCCAGAAGTAAAGCGGAACACTGGTATTTGTAAACACCAGCAATTTCTACAGCAGATGCCCCTATCCTGTGTGTTGATGCTCTGGGAACCAGACTCCTTTGTAGAACACTGAGCCTAACTCCAAATTTATTTTCTAAGTGAATTCACTGGTTTTTATTACAGTAAATGCCCATGGAAAGAATTTAAATTGGAGTCAAACATGAATATTTTTAACATTATTTAATGGAAATAAAGCATCATACAAAGATATAAACAGACAAAATTTTCAAATTTCAAAATGGTAGGGAAGGAAAAGAATCTTACAAATCATTTAATTCAGTCTTCCAATTTTGCAGTTAACTAAACTGGACCAACAGTCCACATCTATGTAGATAATTAGTCAGAAAGTCAGGGTTGAAACCTAATTGGCGTGATGTCATGCTTTAAACTACAAACAAGAATTTAACACATCAAGACAAAAAGTCTTCATGTTATGCTTTTAAAAGGCACCGAACAATTAAACAGCTTAGACATCTAATATGTCTTTAAACTACGCAGATGCATAAAGGAGCCTCATTTTAAAAATATTATTATTATTATTGGAGCCAGAGTCTCGCTCTGTTGCCCAGGCTGGAGTGCAGTGGCACAGCCTCTGATCGCTGCAAACTCTGCCTCACAGGTTCAAGCAATTCTCTTGCCTTAGCCTCTCAAGCAACTGGGATTACAGGTACCCACCACCACGCCTGGCTAATTTTTGTGTATTCAGTAGAGATAGCGTTTCACCATGTTGGCCAGGTTGGTCTCAAATTCCTGATCTCAAGTGATCCACCTGCTTTGGCTTCCCAAAATGCTGGGATTACAGGCATGAGCCATCACATCCAGCCAGTCTCATTTTTATTTTTAATAGACATTTTGTTTTTTTAACTGATGAGATAACAGGAGTCTACCAGAGAAGTGCCTACTGCTCATGGGTTAATGAATTTTTGGTTGGTTATAGCAGTGGAGATGGGTCTCTTTCTTTAGGAAATAGTTGATTAATTTTTTTGGCTTTCATAATTATAAATTTAGATCAAGTCAGAGAAATGACAATATATAGCCCTTTGCTTTTAAGATAACAATATTTTATAGTTCACATAGACTGCTTTGCAGCAGATGTTCTTTTTTTTCTGATCTAAGTGCCACCATTTATCTCCTGTTCTTTTTATATTTTGTATACACAAAGCCTAACTTGGAATTGATAGTAAGGATTAAGGAGTTCTATATGAATGATTTTTCAGACAAAGGAAACTTACCTACATTATTGAAATGTAATAATTTTAGAAGGAAATATTTCTAGACTGTATCACCTACTTATCCATCACCTTTAAAAGAGTCTTGTTATCTTCCCTTTAATACAGAACTTAGCAAATGAGAGTAGAGATTTGAAGCCAGACTGCTCAGGTTTAAGTCCTGGTAGAGGCCTATCAGGTGTGTGACCTCAGGCATATGATTGTCTCAGTCTCCTCATTTGTAAAATAAGAATATTAGTATATTCTTCTTAAGGTAGCTGTGAAGATTGAAAGTTAATATATGTAAGGCACTTAAGACAGTGTCTGGTATATAATAATTACTAAGCATATATTAGCTCAAGAAGTCACAGTCTACACTGTGCGGGGGGGTTGGCAGAAGGAATACATTAATTAATGGAATATACAAGTGCATTTACCAACTTGTGATAAGTGATAGAAAAGGAAAGTACTGAGTGCTATTAGAGTGTTAACAGGGGAAACAGATTTAGCCTGGCATTGTGTTGTAGAATTCTTTACATTTTAGTTTCTCCTACTGATGTGTGAATTTTTTGAAAGCAAGAAGCATGTCTTAATCTTCCTTATGTAACTGTCAGTAAGCACAGTCTCTGGTGCGTAGCAGGGGCTCGAGACTACTTTGGAAGGAGAGATTAAAGGAAAGAAAAAAAAATTCTACAGGCATCACCCAGAGAATATAATGATATACCAGGCAAGTGTTCTGCAGGGGGTAGAGAATTATGCTGCTTGGTGACCCTGCCACCTGCAGAGGTGCCGCACCTCCCACACAGGGGTCAGCATCCCAGTGATTCCTGGCATCTGCAGCTTAATGAGGATGTATCCATTTATGCATTAAGGTTCATTTCCCTTGTTCAAAGCAGTCCCTCAGGTCTTCCCCGAGGACTGGTTTGCTTATTTTATACAGGATTCTTAGAATACTGCTGACAAGTTTGTTAATCAGAGAGCCTTGGGAAGGGGGTTGCTTATCTTGGGGAAGACAGCGAGCTATGTTTGAAGGCAGGTTTTCTTCCTCTCTCTCGAGAGTTGAGCAGTTTGAAAACAGGCTGCCTTCAGCCTTGCTTGGAATCAGGAGTGGAAGAGAGATACAGGGATGCAGCACAGAAGGAGCCTTGCTGTTCTCCTGGCCTGCGGGCTGAATCGATGCCACAGGTAACCTGGCTTGAGCCTTCCAGTTCATATGGGAGAAAAGGGAGGAGCAGATGGCCAGGTGCCTTGTCCCAGGTCACACAGTGGCAGAGCTTGAAGCCCTCAGATCTGCATGCTCCCAGCTGCCACCCTATACCACAACACATGGGGAATGGGACCTTGGGAATCGACTTAAACAAATTTATGAATCAATAGCCTGGTTTGGTGGTGCATACCTATAGTCCTAGCTACTCAGGAGGCTGAGATGGGGGAGCACTTGAGCCCAGGAGTTCAAGGCTAGCCTGCGCAACATAATGAGACCTTGGCTCAATAATAATAATAATAATAATAATAATAATAGTATCTGTGGACAAATTAGGAAAGACAAGGAAGAGACTGAATTGTGTGAACCTCCAATTTTAAATTGTGTTAACTTAGATGAAAGCCTATTTTTTAAAAAATGTAATCAAAATAGTTGATGATAGCAACAGTGATACCAGCAAACACTTGTATATTATTCGTTATTTGCTTGGCATCATTCTGAGAGTTTTATATGTATAAATTCATGTAACTCCCATAACAACTTCCTGGCCTAGATTTTATTAATTTTACACGTGAGGAAAACTGAGACATGGGAGCTTTAAGCAACTTACCCAAGGTCACACATTTAGTTGGTTGGAGAGTTAGAATGAAGATTTAGTTAAACATTTGCTGGAGCTGGGGAGAGTGCTGGCTGGCTGTCTTGCTGCTGCCACAGCTCTGCATTCTGGCCGCTCACCCTGGCCCATGGATGGGGTGTCTGGCTGAGCCCTGGGACGAATGGCAGAAGAGCTGCTTTACAAAAGAACCGTGGAGGCCGGGCGCGGTGGCTCAAGCCTGTAATCCCAGCACTTTGGGAGGCCGAGGCGGGTGGATCACGAGGTCAAGAGATCGAGACCATCCTGGTCAACATGGTGAAACCCC